AGGACTTAAACAAGCTCTCCAGGTGCCTCTGATGCATACTAAAGTTTGAAACCACTGATCTAGATTAATGTTTTTCATACTGCAGGTCGCAAACAATTAGTTGATAAAGAAATAAACTGAGCTACAAAGTGCATTTAAGAAAATGAAACAATAAAAAAAGAATAAAATTATTCATATGGTATAAAGGTAAGTAATATTTTGTGAAACTTGTTGCAATTATATATGCATGTGTGTGTGCACACATCTATTTATACTTGATTGTTAAATAAAATATGTTACTGTGGATCACCCTCTCAAAAAAAAATCTGTTCTTCCCAGGTCTGGTTCCTTCTTGTCATTTAAATCTTATCTTGGCCTTTCTAACCCATTGTACTTAATGTTGCCTCCTCCAAGTCATTTATTCTCATACTGTGCTGTTTTATTTATTTGTAAGTATTTATCAATATGTAAACTATCTTACTATTTATAATCTTTCTTTCCCCACTAGAATACAAGCTAATTAGAGGTGACATCTAATTCCCCACTGAGTTCCCAACATCTAGAATAGTGTCTTCCCACCTATAATATCCAATCAATAAACATTTTTGGTGGGATGAACTTTACAAATAAGTAACTTGCCAAATCTCACCTAAGTTAGATTTTAACTACACTTTAAAATCATGTGTATCTTAGGTCTGTGATCTCCTTAATACAATCACCACTTCTTGGTGGGCCTAAAATTTGTATTCCAGCCATCTACTTCATAGTCCTACACTATAGGAAAGTTATGAAATTAAACTTTCACCACTGTAAAAAGAAATGCTTAGTTTGGGGACACTAAGAATCTGGTAAGAAGTTAAATGGGAAGGGAAATGTACACCAGGAAGAAAAAAATTGGGAAGCAAAATTAATGGAAAGTAAATCATATTCACAGTCCAAATAAGCTTGTTGGAGATTCCATGAAATGTTATATATAGTTAGATGATGACTTGGACATTAGAAGTCCTTTTCTGCATAGTATATAAATTGGTGTCCTTCCTGAACCCACTAGTGCCACAAATGTAAGTGCACATTAGGCAGAGACGCTAGTGCTTGACCTACCGCGGCGAGAACAAGCTGCGTAATAAATAAACCCTTTCACCCCAAAGAACATTTTGCTGTCAATTTCTTTGGTCACACTGAATCCATAGTGAACTTGCCCAGAGCTGAAACCCATTGGCAAGACAACCTCCCATTGACAAATCCTATAGGTTTGATAATGGTAGTTTTGTCAAAGCTAAGCATTTATGTGCATATTGTTTCTTATTCTTAATTGTTTCATGATCTTTATTTAAAATTCAAGTAAATTTCATCCAATTGATGGTTATAAGGCTTATAACTAGATATCAGAATGTCATCATATATGTTCAACTAAACAGGATAAGCAATCTGTTATATAATGCCTATTATGTACCATACACTCTACACTCATTGTAACATTTTAATTCTCACAATAATATGAACAATTACTGTTATGGTTATTTTACCAAGTAAAATAACCTCTTCTTCCTCATAAATTCCATGTTGCTAAATTCAAAGGTTACTTCTTTGTCTCCATCTCCTCAACCTCTCAGTATCATTCCACAGTTGACCACTGAAGTTCTGTGATGGAACTCTCCTTGAATCACCTTCTTCTCTTAAACTACGTAATTCCCTAGTCTCCTGGAAGTGTTCTTATGCTAGCATGCTCCTTTGCTGGCTCATGAGGCATGTGCTGGGTTTGCTTCTTGTTGCCATCTACATACCACTTCTATGTAAACTCACCACCTCCCATGACCTTAAGGGCCACCTACATCAGTGGTTTTTCAGAATGTGGTCCCTGGATCAGAAGTATTAGCATCACCCGGGAATGGTTTAGTAAAGCAAAGTATCGGGTCCTCCCACTGTAAGGAATCAAAAACTGGGAGTGGTGGCCAGCAATTAGGACTTAAACAAGCTCTCCAGGTGCCTCTGATGCATACTAAAGTTTGAAACCACTGATCTAGATTAATGTTTTTCATACTGCAGGTCGCAAACAATTAGTTGATAAAGAAATAAACTGAGCTACAAAGTGCATTTAAGAAAATGAAACAATAAAAAAAGAATAAAATTATTCATATGGTATAAAGGTAAGTAATATTTTGTGAAACTTGTTGCAATTATATATGCATGTGTGTGTGCACACATCTATTTATACTTGATTGTTAAATAAAATATGTTACTGTGGATCACCCTCTCAAAAAAAAATCTGTTCTTCCCAGGTCTGGTTCCTTCTTGTCATTTAAATCTTATCTTGGCCTTTCTAACCCATTGTACTTAATGTTGCCTCCTCCAAGTCATTTATTCTCATACTGTGCTGTTTTATTTATTTGTAAGTATTTATCAATATGTAAACTATCTTACTATTTATAATCTTTCTTTCCCCACTAGAATACAAGCTAATTAGAGGTGACATCTAATTCCCCACTGAGTTCCCAACATCTAGAATAGTGTCTTCCCACCTATAATATCCAATCAATAAACATTTTTGGTGGGATGAACTTTACAAATAAGTAACTTGCCAAATCTCACCTAAGTTAGATTTTAACTACACTTTAAAATCATGTGTATCTTAGGTCTGTGATCTCCTTAATACAATCACCACTTCTTGGTGGGCCTAAAATTTGTATTCCAGCCATCTACTTCATAGTCCTACACTATAGGAAAGTTATGAAATTAAACTTTCACCACTGTAAAAAGAAATGCTTAGTTTGGGGACACTAAGAATCTGGTAAGAAGTTAAATGGGAAGGGAAATGTACACCAGGAAGAAAAAAATTGGGAAGCAAAATTAATGGAAAGTAAATCATATTCACAGTCCAAATAAGCTTGTTGGAGATTCCATGAAATGTTATATATAGTTAGATGATGACTTGGACATTAGAAGTCCTTTTCTGCATAGTATATAAATTGGTGTCCTTCCTGAACCCACTAGTGCCACAAATGTAAGTGCACATATGTGAATACACATGCATACATGAGCCTGGAACTTGGGAGAGGGTGCTGATCTGCCTATCTTATGGCACCAAAGTGATATTCACTGGATAACCCCTAATCATATTGTACCTGCTTCTTCCATAGTAATGGATTTTAAGTAATGGGAAGTGTAAATGACAGTGCAGGCTTTAGAGTCACAGTGTCTGGGTTTAAGCTCCATTTCCACTGTTATAAAGCTGTGTAACTTTGGATACAGTCCTTAATTTCTCTGAGCCTCAGTTTCTTTATTTGTGTAATTAATCTTATAAGGTTAGCATGTTGACAAGTTAATAATACATGTGAAGACCTGGCACACAGAAAACAGAGTGTTTATTTGGTATCATAACACTTATATTCATCTCTTTAAATGCTTATCTCCTCTAATTCTTACACCAGTCCTAGAAGGCAGGTTATTATAAGACATCCAGTCTCTCCTTATAAATTAGCAAGTCATGAAGAGGCTAAGTGATTTGTCTATGAATTCACAACTAAGTACACTGGATTAGAATGTACTCTTGGTCACATGCCTCTTCCAGGTTTCCTAACAACTATGCAAATGTGGAAATTCTAGCATCTCAGAAATTATGAATAATCAAAAGTATCTTCATTCTCCTGGAGCTGCCCTAATATGTCTATCAGAAAAAGGGATTATATTACACACATGCACACACATATCAATCATATACATCATATGCAGCCCTCTAAAAGAGGCTGAGAATCAAAACACTACAGTACATTTATCAAATTTTGTTCCCATGCCTTTGAATCCTCTCTTCCAAGTTAGTGACCCCATCAAGAAGAAAGGAGCTATGTTTTATTCATTTCATCATAGATTCACTTAACACTTAAAATAAGCAGTTGGTTTTCAACAAAGATTTGTTGAATAAATGCAGAAAATAATGCATGAGAAAGGGCTCTGTAAAATCATAAAATATAAACCAAGTTTTTATAAAGCCAGCTAAACTATTATAAACTTATATTTGTTTATATTTTTATTTATATACTTACATTTAGAAAAATATAAAGTTATAAAGTCAATTTAATAATAATTATCAACAGTAATAAGAGCCATAATACCTTTTGAAGATTCACTATGTGGCAGGCTAAAGATTTTACAACCTTATTTTAATCGTCACCACAATGCTGTTTAAGTACCATTATTTTCATAGAAGAGGACATGCTCAACGTCATACACTAGGAAGTGCTAGAGCCAGAATTTTAACTCTTGCAATTTCTATATCAAATTCCTTTTCTGTATTGTAGAAGGAATATAATATATATAATACACACACATATACACACACATTACCTAAATATATGTAAACATATATATTTCACAAACCCACTTAAATATATAATTCTTTGGGTTTTAGTTTATTCACAAATTGTGCAACCATCATCACAATCTAATTTTAGAACATTTTCATCATCCCTAAAAGAAATTCCACACACAAGAGCAATCAGATCTAACTACATATACTTTACATTACATAAAAGAAAAAAAGCCTCTATTAAATATATGTATGATTGTATATTTGATATAGCTAATGCAAAAGAAAATCACAAAAGGAATTCCAAAGGAGGAAATATGACTTGGTGGGCCCTTTGTAATTTTGTATTAGCTACATCACCATCCATTTGAGTAAGGCAAGTAGTTAAGAGCTGGTATTTGTATCCAACTCAGATTATTGTGGGTCAAATGCAATTTCAAGGGCTTCTTGGCATTGCTGTATTCACAACCAAATAGTAAGTCTAGGAGGGAATGGAGATAAAATAGTGGACAAACTAATTGTCTTTGATATTTATTCTAAAATTTTATTAGTGTCTGAGAGAAAAGCTTTACAATTGAGATACAAATCTCTTTTTTAGAATTATATGTTCATGCATGTTTTCTGAGAACCTACAACATTGCATGGATTTGATAACAACAATCATTAAAGCACAATTTAATTAATTCTGCATCCACTTCAAAAATTAAAAGGAACTCACGGTTGGTAAATGCATATTCTTCCTCATTTTCATCACTACCATCGGATGGAGTTTTGTAAGGAGGTGGCAGCTTCATTGGAGGTGGAGCAGTTCCCTGCCTCTGTAGATGCAAAAAATTTCACAGAAGGATTAATTTCTTTTACACAATTCCCTTCTTGAATGACAAAGAGTATAAAAAAGAAAATCTGTAAATATTTTGACTATATCCAACTTCAGTCGTATTAGGATTGTAAAACAAATACAATTTGTTCTTTTATTTTTGTTATTATGCAAGTGACTGATGTAAACACATCAATACAGAAAACAGGAATTCAAAAGCACAGCTTTTAAGACTGTACACCTACCCAGAACAACGCATTCCTTTCCCCATTGTAAAAGGCAATTATATGTATTTTCTTTACATTGTTAAGGCTTACTTTTCTTTGTTGTTAGCAACCTCAAATGAGACTTCAAAAATAAATCTAAACATAAACTACCCACTGTATTAATTCTACAACCATTTAAATGTTTTATTCAATTGTTGAAGTTACAGATATCATTTTTTAAAATATACTTGATGTGAAATATCAAGATTTTCTAACTGAAAAGGTTTTATTTACAATAGTAAACACATTTTAATGTTTTAAAAAAGATATCTTTATGATGAACACTTTTTGTATTTCTGTATAAATATTCTTAAAATGTACACATCAAATGATACAGCACATCAATATTTGGTTCAAATAGACTTAAAGCAGAAGAAAACTCTGATCAGATTACCTTCACAGAATGTAGACATTTTCTTGAACGCTGGGAAAAATAAAACATGCCAAACTTTACGGAGAGATCCAAGCTGCTGAAAAGAATAGGAGCTGATATACCCAAGCGTTCCACAAATACCAAAATAAATGGATTAAGACTTGTTTTGCTACAGAATTTCAATCAAGTACATTCAATTATCCTTTATATGACAAAACCACTAATGGCAGGATACACTTCAGCAAATGGACAATGACTGGCCCATTACAGAAAGCAGGCATATAATAAATTCCTCCCAAACAGAAAACATTATTTGGGATCCATAAAGGAAAAACACACCCACATTTATTTAAGATAATGTCTAACTAAAGCAGTACTTCATAGATACATAGAAAATAAAAAAATCAATAAAATGAGTGATGAAGAGAAGATGCCAAACACAAAACATTTATTAAGCAAAAAAAAAAATAGAGAAATGTGATCACTGTGTCTCTCTAATTCTTCCTTGGAAAAACTTAAATGTGAGTTAAATGAAGAGCAAAAAAAGGCAAGTGAAAACTTTCAGTAAACCTTTACCTCAGAACTGGACCATTTTAGGTCAGAGATAAAAGTCAGTACAAGAACAGCCTGCATTTAAAATAATATTAAGAAATATGAATTTTCTTCAGTAGCACTTCTAAAAAATATTTCAGGGGAAAATGTTTACAAGACTGACTTATTTAATTAACTTCGACAGACACTCTTGAAAAGAATATAGGTAAGCATGGCTTGTTCTCCTTATAGTTTGAATGTGGGTTGCCAGGTACCTGGTGGGTATCTTTCTACTTTAAGAGTTTTAGTTTTAGAGGTCCCACTGAGATGTTCAAGCACACGCACCTTCCAGAACCAGTTGAACAGTGATGCCTGAGACACACAACTCATGAACTGTGTAAACCCATACACAGACTTCTTGGCTCCCACAGTAAATCCCCAGTGACAACAGAACTTTGTCTTTTCTATTCTGTTTCTATGATCAGATTACCTTCACAGAATGTAGATATTTTCTTGAATACTTTATTTCCAACTCTATGTTTTTGGTTCTGATACTAAGCCAAGTTTTTTTATTTATACTTGGGTTGCAAATTATCTCCCATTAGTAGCAGCTAAATGGAGTTTGGTTTTATGGTCTGACAATTTAGTGATATTTGAGCATCTATATATATTAGTTCTGTAGGGATCTATCCTCTATTGATTGAGAATGAACAGAGAATGTGTTAGTTAGTATTTTTGTACAAGAATATGTCGTGGGTCCTGGAAATAGCACCTTTTTGACATACAGACTAGTAGTTTTATTTCTGTGTCTACAGTAGACATTTGGCTAAAGTGGTATTTAGAGTTGTATTTAGAAGCTGAAAGTGCTTGCTGTATCTGAGATTGAGAAAAGCTCTTACCTCTCATCATGAAAAATATTTTCCTACCTTCAAAGGATATTAATTAATTAGATGTATGTCTCTTTAAAATTCTTTCTGACAGATTCAGACCAAGAAGCATTATTTAAATCTAATATTACCAGTTTTCCAGAAAATGGTAAAATAAACTTTTATTACTTTTGATGTGATAGCCTTTCAATTAAGAAAAATCCCTGTTCACAGAAACCACTAATTCAGATCCATTTCTATGTAAGAATCCAGAAGTGTTTTGGTAACTTAAATTTAGAAATAGCTACACTGTCCCCCTAATATCTGTGATCTTCTTGATGTAAAGTATAAAACAAAAACACATATGACTATACATATATATGTGTAACATACTACACAAAAATATATATGAATGCCATAAACATTTACACATTAGCCTGAGTATTATCAGGCAATTCTAAGACCTAGAATAATGTGGAATATAATGATAGAACTCTGAATTACTTTTGCTGTTAAGAAAGAGAGCATGTATCCTCTAACAGTCTAAGTGCTATCAGGAGGTTGCAAAATGCTAAGAGTCTGGGACTTGGAATAGATACATGTCTTAACATCAATCTTATTGAGGTATAATTTATATATAACAAAATGTACTTGTTTTAAGTATTCACTTGAAATAGATACATGTTTATAAGTTTAATTTGACTATGTTTTTAGGGGCTACTGTTTTTCATGGAAGACATTTTCATTTGGATAATACCTAAAAAGAAAACGAAGAAACTAACAGTAGATTAATGACAGCTGGTTGTGAACAGTGTCCACAGAACCTTTAAGAAAAGGAGTATATGAAGTAATACTGAAGAAAAATCTAGAAAGAAATACCAAAGAATTGTTGTGAAACTAGTTAATTTTAGTATTTCTATGAATCCTGATTGCCTATCAATTCACATTCTATGATGCAAAAAAGGCCAGAAAATATTGAACTGAAACAAAACTACACAGAACAAATAAAAACTGCAGATTTATTCAAGACCTGCTTACTGATATTTCTTCTCTTTTTTATTATTTTTTTAGGTACTGTCTTTCTCTTTTTTCTTAATGTGAATGCTCTGCAAAGTAAATTTAGATTTCTAGCCTAGATTTTGCCTAGTATGAGTTTCAAGTGAAACTTTTTTTTCTATTATCTCCTTTATGATTATAATCCTAGAGAACATGTATTGCTTTTGTATTAAGGAGGAAAAAAAATTCATAGAAGGAATTTCTTCTAGTGACAATTTTTTTTTATTTTTTATTTTGGTATCATTAATCTACAATTACATGAGCAACATTATGGTTATAGACTCCACCCATTATCAAGTCCCCACCACATACCCCATTACAGTCACTTTCCATCAGCATAGTAAGATGCTATAGAATCACTACTTAACTTCTTTGTATTATACTGCCTTCCTCGGAACCCCCGCCACCACTACATTAGGTGTGTTAATCGTAATGCCTCTTTTCCCCCTTATCCCTCCCTTCCCACCCATCCTCCCCAGTCCCTTTCCCTTTGGTAACTGTTAGTCCATCCTTGGGTTCAGTGAGTCTTCTGCTGTTTCATTCCTTCAGTTTTTGCTTTGTTCTTATACTCCACATATGAGTGAAATTATTTGATACTTGTCTTTCTCCGCCTGGCTTATTTCCTTGAGCATAATACCCTCTATCTACATCCATGTTGTTGCAAATGGTAGGATTTATTTTCTTCTTATGGCTGAATAATATTCCATTGTGCATATGTACCACCTCTTCTTTATCCACTCATCTACTGATGGACACTTAGGTTGCATCCATTTCTTGGCTATTATAAACACTGCCACGATAAACATAGGGGTGCATATGTCTTTTTGAAACTGGGTTCCTGCATTCTTAGGGTAAATTTGTAGGAGTGGAATTCCTGAGTCAAATGGTATTTCTACTTTTAGTGTTTTGAGGAACCTCCATAGTGCTTTCCACAATGGTTGAACTAATTTACATTCCCACCAGCAGTGAAGTAGGGCTCCCCTTTCTCAACATCCTCACCAACATTTGTTATTGTTTGTCTTTTGGATGGTGGTGATCCTTACTGGTGTGAGGTGATATCTCATTGTGGTTTTAATTTGCATTTCTCTGATGATTAGCGATGTGGAGCATCTTTAATGTGCCTGTTGGCCATCTGAATTTCTTCTTTGAAGAAGTGGCTGTTCAGATCCTCTGCTAATTTTTTAACTGGATTATTTGCTTTTTGTTTGTTGAGGTGAGTGAGGTCTTTATATATTTTGGATGTCAACCCCTTATCAGCTATGTCATTTACAAATATATTTTCCCATACTGTAGGATGTCTTTTTGTTCTACTGATGGTGTCCTTTGCTGTACAGAAGCTTTTTAGTTTAATATAGTCTGCTTGTTCGTTTTTGCTTTTGTTTCCCTTGCCTAGAGAGATATATGTTCATGAAGAAGTTGCTCATGTTTATGTCCAAGAAATTTTTGACTATGTTTCTTTCTAAGAGTTTTATGGTTTCATGACTTACATTCAGGTCTTTGATCCATTTCAAATTTACTTTTGTATATGGGGTTAGACAATAATCCAGGTTCATTCTCTTACATGTAGCTGTCCAGTTGTGCCAGCATCAGCTGTTGAAGAGGCTGTCATTTCCTTATGTATATCCATGGCTCCTTTATCATACTTAAATTGATCATATGTGCTTGGGTTACTGTCTGGACTCTCTATTCTGCTCTACTTGTCTATGGGTCTGTTCTTGTGCCAGTACCAAATTGTCTTGATTACTGTGGCTTTGTAGTAGAGCTTGAAGTTGGGAGGTGAGATCCCCCTGCTTTATTCTTCCTTCTCAGGATTGCTTTGGCTATTCAGGGGCTTTTGTGGTTCCATTTGAATTTTAGAACTATTTGTTCCAGTTCGTTGAAGAATGCTGTCGGTATTTTGACAGGGATT